TATTCCATATGATCTATTTTGTAAATTGCAAAGTGATTATAGGTTAATAAATTTTCAAACCATATTTTGAATTCAACTACGGTAAATTTTCATCGTTACTCATTTTCCTTCTAGTCGCATAAAGTCTGCAGTCAAGTAATAAATGTTTTTATAAAATCAAATCACGTAAATCTAATCAAAATTGCATAATGCAATTGATAGAACCGTTTTCGTCATAAATGCATAAGATCTGCAATCTACTACTAATAACTTTGTACATAAAATTAAATTATGTAGGTCCCATTAAAATTGCATAATGCATTTGATATAACTGTACTCGTCATAAATGCATAAGATCGATCTATTAATACATGTTTTATATAAAATTATATTCTCTAATCCAGTAAAAATTGTACACTACGTTTAATTTACCGATTTTTACCACGATGTATTAAATCCACCGTTTACTAATCAATTTCTATATAAAATCAAATTTCGTGATTTCAATATGAAACGCATGATGCATTTGATCTACACTCATTCTTATCATAAATGCATAAAGTCGGCTGTCTAATAACAAATCGCCGTGTAAGATCAAGTTATTTCGATCCAATGAAAATTGCATAATGCATTTAATTTATTCATTTTTGTCATAAATGCATAAAATATACGATCTACTATTATTATATAAAATCAGATTGTACAATTTCAATAAAAAGTGTGCAATTCTAATAAAAATTGTACAATTCCAATAAAAATTGAACAGTGCATTTGATTTATGCATTTTCATCATAAGTACATAATATTGGCAGTCTATTAAACAATGTCCGTATGATATTAAAGTATGCAGACTTAATCGAAATTTCACAGCATCAATGCCAGGCGTCGGGAAGGCCCTGTACAAGCAGCACATGGACAGCTGCTTGAAACTGTTAAAATTCGTAGCCGATACCGACTTGCCCTTGACACAGGTGAACGGCCAGAGGAGGTTGGGACCACCCCCAAAGTGGAAAGGGCCACCCCCGAGTCCGAAATGCGAGGTGTTCGTCGGCAGCATTCCTCATGATTATTACGAGCCCGAGATCGTGCAAATATTCGGCTTAATCGGGCAGATCTATGAATTGCGCCTGATGATGAACTTCTCCGGCGAGAATAGAGGATATTGCTTTATCATGTACGCCACCGAAGAAGAGGCAGCGCGGGCTGTAAGGGAACTCGATCAGTTTGAGATTTATCCTGGAAAGAAGATCGGCGTTGTGGCTAGCGTTAATAATCGTCGGCTTTATATTGTTCAGCTGCCGTCGTACTTGAGTACCGAAGCTATTGTCAAGGTATGGACTGAATTTTTCATTAGAATAACGAGAACAGTAATAATTTAATTGTTCACTCTTTTGGTTCGTTAATTTAGTATAATAACTCTTAATGGAATTTAAATGTAAATTGGAGATATAAGAGTGTTTTGTAAATTATTGCAGAAATTTTGGAATTTCGTTCTTTGAGGTAGTATGAAATTTTTTCTAATCATATTTTGCATTATAGTAAATTATAAATGATCTTACTGTTATACGTTGGACAGTGGACTTTCATACAAGGGAAACATTTTCTGTATAGATTGCAATAAAAAATAGTTGAATGGTAATTTATTTCTTTTTATTGAATAATTGAAAGAGTTATTTTGTATTTCGTTTATTCATTTTTGTGTTAAATGCACACAGTCCACTTTCTGATTATTTGTACGTTTTCTCATGAATATCGCGAAACTTTCTAATTATAGTAGTTTCAATTTTACTCTATATTTTTTACATTTTGTAACTTTTATTTATATAGTAGTAGTGAAACAATACATGTCTATTGTATAAGAAATAGAATTATAATTATAAACTGTAAACTATATATTATAAAATATGCACAATAAATTATAATTCACATATTTGCAATGTAGAAAAAACTCGAAAAATATATCGAATACAATTTTATGTTAAATTTATTGAAACTACTTGCGAAGGATATTGGATTTTATTCAATGTCTATTTGTTTAAATGTTGTGCCTAAGGACGCACAGTTGCGAAAATATCTACAGACAGACAGATCTGCTGTAATATGGCTGACATAGTTTTTTCTTTCGTAGCGCTTCTACGAAATGACCGATGACATCGAAAATGTTGCCGTTTACCGTAACACAAACGGTATGGTGAACTATGTATTGGTTTCGTATAATACTCATCGAGGCGCCGCCATGGGAAGAAGAAGATTGGTGCCCGAATCTTTGACACTTTTTCCAAATCATGAAGTAATCATCGAATGGGCGAAACCAAATATGTCTCCGTCGAACGTGGTGGGTACATAATGCATCGAATATGAAACATACTTTTGTTTTCAAAAAAACGAATAATTTCAATAATTCCTCTCTACGAAAATTTTGTTTTCGAAATAATCATATTTTCTAGTATGCTATACACTTATACATTTATAATTTACCAAAAAAATTGTTTGTTCTAGATTGGTAAACAATGACGAGCCTGCGTATCTTTATGCATTTAGGGCATACGCCAATTTTGAAGATATCGGGATTAATGAAAAGACACGTTTTTATTTCATTTTCATTTCGTTAAATATTCTTTTAATCGATGAAAAATATTTTTGTTCAATTTTTATACAATTGGCTATGGGGATGAAAAAATGCATAACGATTTTCAGGCGAATAACTACAAGAAAGTGAAATGGATTAATATTGGTATGCACAGGGTGTTCAAAAAAAGCATTCGATATTTATGTGGTATATAGGGCACGCTGTACCGAGTAAAAAAGATCTTAGTAAACATTGGTCAACTTCATGATGACTGTGAGCATCATGACTGACTTACTAATGACTCTTCGATATTTACAGAAGATTTCCCACGTGTCCTCCTTCCATTTCTGTACACGCTTGACATCTTCTTCTTACCGAGTTGCGAACTTTCTCTAAAATTCTACATCTCCGACGGATTATTTGACAAGCACGTTGAATCGAAGCAACTAGATCGATTATGATGCTGGTAAACAGAAATGTTCGTATCTTAGAAACGGTTGACCTCTTTCGACTTATGTTTACTAAGGTCGACCTATGTTTATTTTCTCCTTTTTGAACACCCTGTATAGTAATTTCCATTTTTGAATAGTCATTTTATTAAAATAGTTTATTTGAATATTAATTATCGATTCGTAGGCTGCGAATTTCTGCAGTTAAAATGCACTTCTGCTTACTTCTGTACACATTGCACATGCATAAAATCCGCAGGCTATTGATAACGATTGATTAGCAACGAAGATAAACGCGAAACGATAAACGGTGACTGACGGAGGGATGTTTGTGTTTGCAAGCAGGCAGTGTGCCGCGATTTATGGTTTTCCTTTCGCATGTAAAGAACAATGACATCGGTCAGTTATGGTCCCACGTGAAATTGGAACGTGGGTACTTTCCCCGGTTGGCTTGTCCGCAAGTGGTACCGCAATTTGCAAGAATCGAGACCCGCGTACACGACTACTTGAACGCGGATGATTTTATCCAATTTGTAGATCGTATTATATTGTTTATGCAAACAGGAACGCGGTGCCATAAATATTTATCGAATGTGATCACTGGCAAACGAGTTAGTTGTGCAACCAGGTACTCTAAAGCTGAAACATACTCCACACGATTTCAAGAAGAATTCCAAAATTCGGAAGTATAAATTCAATTCAAAAAATACTGAAATTGTATTAGGGGAACCGGAAAGTTATGTCGTTTGTTTACATTAAATTCAAACAGATAAATATGCGCAGAGACATTACTTTCTGGTCCGCCTAATATTTGAAAACTCGAAACTCCGTTAATTTGCCATTAATCTCTCATGGTTGGACAACACAGTTATAAAAATTACAAAATTCTTCACCTATATAGTTATTTCATTTTAAGTTTCCAGTTTCATTTTAATGTTTCAAAATTAAACAAAAAGTTAAAACTGCAAAGAATTACATAATTCTAAAAATCTAAATTCAATTCTAGAAATACAGGAACTATTACAAATTTAAAACTATGCTTTAAGTCTCAGTTTACCTAAGAAAATGACAAAAAATACTTTAAATAAAATATAAGAGTCTTGTGACAATGCGAACCAGCTATAAATTTATAAAAATATAGTTACACGAATTTTTTACTTTGGTATCGCATATAATAATATATTTCTGCAGTTCCCAATGAATCCTTGGAACAACGTTGCACAGTTTGTTCAAGTATTTTCTCGTTAGGTATCAAAATTCCGTGGAAAATCTAATTTCACTCAATCAAAATGATGACGCAGTTTGAACCGGGAAGTTCAAAGGTCCGCCGCTAGGTACCGCGACGGTTGTCCGCGTTTATTAGAGATATTGCGCAGCGGCAGATGTGTCGAGTCGATCAGCTGATCGCGCGGTTCCTCGTTCTCTCGTCTTGCACGAAATCGATTTGAAAAACATTCTAGTTGTCGGAATTCGATCGAAAACCAAGCAAAATGAGCGTCGCGATGGTAGAAAACGGTATATACAGTGATTATCGCAGTCCTTTGGCGACTAGGTATGTGTCGAAGGAAATGAGATACAACTTCAGTGATCAACATAAGTTTAGCACGTGGCGAAAACTGTGGATCTACTTGGCGAAGGCAGAGATGGTTCGTTAATTGTTTATCACACGTGACTTGAATGGATTAACATGACCAGCTTAGCTGCAGCTAGAACGAAAAATAATTGAATGTTTAATACTGTCATTCCTTAAAACTTGAGACGTTTGTTTTAGTATACTTTACAAGAAGTTTGTGAGCTGAATTTTATTTGGAGTAAGATTAGGTTTGGGTACAATAATAGTCGATACAAATAATAATTAAATGTTCAACACTGCCTTTTGTTGAAGACTTGAGAAGTGCTCCAATTATTTTAAATACCTGGAAACCAAGTTTTTGTTTAGATGTAGGTAATATAATAGTTTAGAAAAATTACAATTAAGTGTTTAATCCTCTGATTTATTAAAAACTTGCGACGTGCTCCATTTGTTCCTTGAAGTCGATATACTCCATTTTGTTTAGGTCTACATAATATAATGGTTGAAACAAATTGTAATTGAATAATGCTGTTTTTTGTTGAAGACTCGATCCATTTTGTTCGTTAAAAGTAATAATTAAATGTTCAACACTGTCTTTTGTGAAAGGCGTGAGAAGTGCTCCATTTGATTTTTAAAATTTTATAAGAAATCGACTTATTCAATTTTGTTTAGGTTTAGACCAAAAATTATGAAGAAATTAACATTTCCTGTTATTTTAATACCGATTTTTTGGATTTATGGCATAACTGAGTAGATTTAAAAACAAGAGAGTAAAAGCTTCAGAA